TGGAGCACAGAGAGGTTAAGTGAGCTGCCAGTGGTCACACAGCTAACAATTAGCAGAGCCGGGATTTAAAACTCGACCCTGGGAGCGCCTATGGAGGGCTGCCTCCTGCACTTTGATACTATAAATAATAACAAAGGCACAAAGAGCACGTCCTCAGAAACAAGCACTTTATTTCAAAAATATTTTTGTCTAGCACTCTCCTGGTGTAGGCCCCAGAGACAGAGTGGGGAGCAGGTGACATGGGGTCCTGCCCTCACAGGTTTCTCTCGGAGCAACAGAGAAGTCTCGTCAACTGCTCCTAAAATCAAATGTGTAAGATGCACTTGCAGAAAGTGCAACAAGTAGGATTTTCCTCATTTTGCAGATGAGGAAATTAGGATTTTAGAATAGAATGTAATATAACAAAAAGAACATACCAAATTTTAATTTTCTGAATGTCATTGACATTTGCGTAGGTGCTCAACATATGCCGAAGACCTGACAGAAGACACTGAAGGAGGGCCTCCCTGGTGGCACAAGGGGTTAAGACGCAACTTGTGAAGCTGACCGCAGCCACTGCAGCACGAGTTCGATCCCCGGTAGGCCAGGGAGCAACCCACATGGCGCAGCAGACCTCTCCTGTCTCGCCCGCTGCTCCCCTCAGCAGTGTATTTCAGTCAATCTGCCTGTTCTGCTCCCCACTCTGTCTCTGGTGAATCCTCTCAACCCCGACACCTCTGGCCTGTATCCATAAATGAATAAATCTTTAAAAAAAAAAAAAAAAAAGACACTGAAGGATAAACTGAGAAAAGTCTCCTTCCCCGCCCTGGCCCAGCCCCAATGAGTTCCTAGAGCTACCAGTGTTGGGCCCCCTCTAGAGACAGATCTGGCAACCACATATACACCTCCCCTCGCACCCCCGTCCTGCCCCGGGTGCCTCCCGGCGTGGGGCAGCTCCTCGCACAGGCACGTCCACAGTGTCTCAGCCAGTCTCCTGCAGGGGTCTCAGGTGACCTCCAGTCCTTCACTAGCCCAGACAAGGTTGCCCCTAACGATGCAGAACGTTTCTCATAGGTGAGTGTATCTGCAGAATAAACTTCCAGAATTCCCAGGTACATGGCTACGTGCACTTGTCATTTTTATAGACATTAGCCATGTCAATCATCCCTGAGGTGCCCCCAAGTCACACTCACCCGGGGACAGGAGTGCAGTGTCACCAGAACCCCAAAACAGTGCAAACCTCTGCTTGGAGAATGAAATACTAGGGAGACTGCCCCCTCCCTCACCACCTGGGGCCTTTGGGCAGCCGCTCAACCTCAGCTGCTCAAGTACCTCACCATAGTAGACTTAGGAGCACCCCTGCCCTGTGTTGCTGGGTTGTCCCACACGCAGCCCCTTGGAGCCAAGAGGAGGACACTGGAGGAGCAGAGAGAGTAGCTCGGGAGAGACAGCTCCACGCCAAGGCCAAGATGGAAGCCGACCATCCCAGCCAGGGGCACGACAGGCCAGCTGGCAGCAGACAGCAGCTAAACGGTTCCGGCTCCAAGCCGGCAGGCACTGCACAAGCTGTGTGACCTTGGACAAGCTGCTCCCTCTCTTCTTCTCTCTTCTGTAAAAAGAGTGAGGTGGCACATGCAAAATACCAAGCAGCCAGCAGAGTCTCAAGCTAGAATCATGATCTGCAGGGCGGAGGGGTGCCAGATCCAGGTCCCCAGACCTCACCATTCCTGAACACATCTACACCTCTCCCTAGATCCCTCCGGTTCTCCACGGAGCATGAGGCCTGTTCTGCCCTTGCAGGCCCTGCAGACCTCCATCTCTGCAGGATCTGTGAGGACAAGAGTCCAGCGTCTCTGTCCCTGGGGCAGGGCCCTAGGCCATTCAGCACAATCCCCAGAGGTCCTTCCTTTCCCCAGTTCACCTCGGACTCCCCAGCTGCCAACCTATGCTTGGTAGTCTCCTCTCCAGAGAAAGCACCTGCACACACCCTGTCTCAGGGGCTGCTTCTAATAGAGCCCAATCACAACAGTCAGCACCACTGAGTAGAGACCAGAAGGTCTGCGGTGGGACCCAGCACCCTGTGGGTGAGGCAGGCACCACCCACACCAGATCTCAGACTCTCAGGCTCAGAACAGTATATCCATTTCTATTTTTCCTCAACTTTTATTTGCCAACTGTTTACATAACTAGACAATTTGGGGGGTACAGCTTCACCCCTCCCCATGTGCACATGCTCACTCACCCAGCACTCGCTCTCCGGGATGCCCGACTCCCTCCCTGCCTAGCGCCTCCCCCCACCCCAACCAGTATATTTTTCACAGTCTAAGAATTCTTGGGGTTGTGTTTTGCCAGTTTCTTTTCTTTGGTTATTTACTTTTCACCAATGAGTGAAGCCATCCAGTAACTACAATATCTTTCACTCAGGCGCATCACTTCAGGCTCCATCCGTTTTGTCCCAAGATACCATTTCATCTTTTTAATAGCGCAGCTGTGTTTCTGGGAGGACGTAGTCCACCGTCTCTTTACCCAGCACGTGTCGATGGCGCGGAGGCGGTCCCGGTCTTGACTTCTGTGGATACTGCTGCTGTGCGCCCAGGAGAAGCTCTTCGTGCTAGAGTTTCACATCCTCCAAGTACCCAGCAGTGGTACTGCTGGATCCTGTGGTATTTCCATTTTCTATTTTTTTTTAATAATTTTTTTTTTATTTTTAAAGATTTTTTTTTATTTATTTATTTTATTTATTTATACAAGCACTGGGTACAGTCAGAAGCGCGGGAGGGTGAGAGAATTCACCAGAGCCAGAGCGGGGAGCAGAGCAGGCAGAAGGACCGAAGTACACTGCTGAGGGGAGCAGCGGGTGTGGCAGGAGAGGTCTGCGCGCCATGTGGGACCCTCACCTGGTGGCTGGGGATCGAACCAGCACTGCAGAGGCTGCGGGCAGCTTCGCAACCCAGCGCTCAACCGCTGCACCACCGGGGAGGCCCTCCATTTTCTATTTTTTGAGAAATCTTCACAGCATTTTCCAGGGAGGATGCACCAAATTACATTCCCGCCAACAGCGGACGAGAGTCCTGTAGAACGGCTTCTTCTCATAGTTCGGTCACGGATGCTCTGGGGCCTGAGGTGGAGCCTGCTCAGAGGAAGCCGCCACCTCCAAGCATCTAGATCAATCTAGATCCAGATACGGTGCAACTATGACTCAGCTTCTATCAAGAAAGGAAAATGAATGACACTGTCCAGGCACAGATGGAAGATGGAAAGGTCAGGCCTGGGTTGGTTTCCAAACCAAGGCCTGTGATGGCAAAGGGAAGAGCAGGCGACTCTGAGGCCAAGCCAGGCGAAAGGAATGTAGCACGATCTTTTTCAGGGGGTGAATTCTCTGATAGAAGAAAATCAAGGCCAGGGGCTCCCCTGGTGGCGCAGCAGTTAAGCGCTGGGCTGTGAAGCTGCCCTCAGCCTCTGCAGCACGGGTTCAATACCCGGCCACCAGCGAGGGTCCCACGTGGCGCGCAGATCCTGCCGCCCACTGCTCCCCTCAGCAGTGTATTTCGTCAGTCTGCCTGTTCTGTTCCCCACCCTGGCTCTGGTGAACTCTTTCACCCTCCCGCGCTTCTGATTGTACCCAGTGCTTGTATAAATAAATAAATAAATCTTAAAAAAAAAAGTTAAAAAAAAAAAAAAAAAAAAATCAAGGCCAGCCAAGGGAAAACCTGGCCTCCGAAGCCTGTCCCACGCATGCCCGTTGTTTTGGGTCGTGCGCCCTGGCGGAGTCCTTGGAGAAATCATTTGGCCCAGGTGGTTGGGGTTGAGTCTGCTTTTGCAAATCTGCTCCATCCTCCAGGGTTGGCCTGAATTCAACATTACAGGTTAGGAGGAGAAGAAAAAGTCAAGAGGTTCCGCTGCCTCTTCCAGGAAAGGCAGAATGAACGCCAGCGAACTTTGGGAGCGGGATCATTAGCGTCTCATTAACGATTCTCATCTCTCACCCAGAGAAGGTACAGGAAATCAATGCCTAGGCCACCAGCTATAATTGCCACTGTCCTTCTGAGCTGGGGGGCTGGGGGGGGGGGGAAGGCCAGGCCTTGTGGCTTCTTGCAAACAAAAGCCCCATTCGCTAATGAGGCTTCCTAATCTAGGGCAGGAGACACGTGGGCTATTATTAGACATGCGTTTCACTTCACTGCGCCACTTCACAAAGGAAACTTTGCTTCTGTAAATTAAAGAACGATTTTTTAAGTGATGGTGGCCACTGGCTAACTTTGTATGAAGCCTCAAATGCTGTCAGGCTTTGGTGCCCAATCGGTAAATTGAACAGACTGGCCAGGCAATCCCACAGACTCTGTGCCACTCCAGCAATCTGTGGTTTTGTTCCTCTCAGCCCTTCTCCCCATAGAACGTCCTTCAGGGCCTCCCTGGTGGCGCAGCGGTTGAGCGCTGGGTTGCGAAGCTGCCCGCAGCCTCCGCAGCGCCGGTTCGATCCCCGGCCCCGGCCACCGCAGGAGGGTCCCACATGGTGCGCAGACCCCTCCTGCCGCCCGCTGCTCCCCTCAGCAGTGTGCTTCGTCAGTCTGCCTGTTCTGCTCCCTGCTCTGACTCTGGTGAATTCTCTCACCCTCCCGCGCTTCTGACTGTACCCAGTGCTTGTATAAATAAATAAATCTTTTAAAAAAATAAATAAAATATAAAAAAAAGAACGTCCTTCAAAATCCACTTTTTTTAATATTTTATTTTATATAATTCTTACATCATTTTTCATTTTTGCACAATGTATGCATTTCCATTTTGGTTATATTCCCCATACAATTGCACCCCCGCTCCTTATTTTGACCCTAATCCTTCCTCTACCCACCCTCCCCTCCCACCCAGTAATGTTACTTGTTGATTTTGATTTTTACTTTATTATACTTAGTCTTTTTCCTGGTCCCTTATTTAGGTTTTCTAAATTCCTGCTATGAGTGAGACCATCCGGTATTTTTCTTTTTCTTTCTGGCTTATTTCGCTGAGCATGATCCCTTCCAGCGCCATCCATGTTGCTGCAAATTGCATGTGTTTATCTTTTTTGCAAAATCCACATTTCTTAACGGAAAGAACATCTGTTCTTTCTGACCCTTGGTGGGGTCTTTTTGGTACCACCGCATCTCATGTGGCCTCAGAAGCCCCACCCAAGTTCCCCACAGGAGACCCCATCTGCAGCCCAAGAAGCTCGGAGGAGAGGGTGAAAGTGGCCCCCTGCCAGCGTGTGAAGAGCTCAGCACCTCTGTCATTCCAGAAGCCAGTCACCGTGGCTTGTGCCAGGTCTTGTCCCGACTGAGCTGACAACTCGAATCATCACCTTAGGGGGGAGTCAGTGGGGAGTGGAGGGACCAACCCTCATTACGAAGGCGTGAAAACCTATACTCATAAAATGGGAGAGAAAATTCATCTTTGAGGTTTACGGCCAACAAAATCTGCAGTGTCTCTTTTATGGATGCTTTTAATGTTCGCGGCTGTTCGCGGGTGACCCTGGGGAAAGCGTGAGGTTGAGCATCTTCCTGAACAGAAACAAGAGGAAGTGACTCTGTCTCCCAGGTGGGTGGTCGTGCTCAGACTGGAAACCAGCCACGGGGGTCCCAAAGGGCTCCTCTAATGTCTTTCTCAAGACCCCCAGCTCGCCTTCCTTCTTCCCTCTTCTCAGTTCTGACCTCCACTGCCCCCTGCAGAGTGTGCCTGGCACCTGCGTCAAGGCGTGTCCCCGCCCAGCCAGTCTCCACAGTTCTTAATCAAGAAGACTTCTTACCTGTCCCCCCTTCACACCTTCCATAGCGCCCCGTCGTCGTCTTCAAGATAAAACTCAAACTCTCAAGCAAAGTCTGACACAGAAAAGGCCTAACACGACAAGCCCCTGCTTCCTTCTTTGGCTGCCCCTCGCACCTACACAGTGACCACAGGGAACCTTCTACTCAGCCTGGGAACTACTGGAGGTTCTGGGCACGGCCTCTCCCCATCCCACGCACAACAGCGCTCATCACTGGCCCTGCGCTCAGACTCCTTCCTCCAACCCAGACCGAGGGCCAGGCCTCCCGGACTCCCTCCGTTCCACCCCTGGCCCTTGCCTCACTGCTTGTCCAGCTAGAACACACATCCCTCCCGCCCCAGCTCACACATCACCTCCTCCAGGCTGTTCTCCCTGACCCCAACTTGGGTCCTGGCTGACTGCCTCGCCACCGGGCCTCTGAGGCATGGTGTGCTCAGTGAATAGCTGCAGCCTGCCAGATGGTCTCCAGGCCCAGCCACAGTCCCTCAGAGCGGCTGCGGAACTTTCCTCTGCAACTCTCCTCCCTGGGAAGGCTTCATTTGCCACAGCAGCCCCTCAGGCAGCTCCTGTGCCATCTGAAATGTCTCCAGCTCCGTCCTGGGCTCTGGGCTCCTTGCGCTCCTTGGGGGTCAGGAGCCGCCCAGTTCCCGCTGCTCCCTGCTTGCTCTGGGCAGAGCCGCGCTCCATCGTGCTGGAAGGGTCGCTCCTGCCCAGAAAACAGAAACCTCCTCCTGGCCCAGATCCCAAAACCAACAGTCCTGCAGAGCCATGACCGGCTCTCTCCTCCCCACCTCCTGATTTCTGGGTGAACCCCTGAACCCCGCTCTGTCTCAGACCCCCTCCCGCTGCATTCACATCTGCCAAGGGGGCGCGCATTCCCTGGAGCTGCAGGCGAGCCAAGCAGGCTCCGGTTTCGGCGAGGGTAACCCCGGCCCTCCGGGGCCCGGAGCCGAGGCGCCCCCGGAGCGGAGACGCCCCCTGCTGCCCCTGCACCTCCAGGCGGGATTCCGGGTCCCTCGCCCCTTCTTGGCCTCCAGGCCGGGGAGAGGCAGCCTGGAGGGGGGCTGCTCCCCTCTGCGTTTTCTCCTCCTTCCTCCAACCACTGCCCGGGCCGCCCCGCCGCTTCCCCAGATGGCTGCAGCCTGAGACCCGCGCCGGGCGGGGCGTCCGTGGGGAGCTGAGCGAGGCTCCGCGAGGACGGGGGGCCGCGAGGGCTGCCCAGGCAGCGGCGGCGCCCCAAGGCGCGGCCTCTCCGAGGCGCCCCCGCCCCGCGCCCCAGGCCCCCCGCGCGCAGGCCGGGCCCTCCCGCCCGGCGCGAACCCACCTGGGCTCCGGCGCGCGGGCTCCATCTAGTGCTGTCTTGCGAGGCGCAAGCTCGGGGGCGGCTCCTCGCGGACGTTTCCTGCCAAGACAAGAACCGCGCCCCGTGGCTCCCGCTCCCACGGCGTCCCGGGGCCGGCAGCCAGCGAGACGGCACCCCGCGAGGGCGCGCCCCGGACCCGCGCGCCCCGACCCGGCGGAGACGCAGCGCCGGGCGCGGGCACCGAGGCGCGAGCAGCCCGAGGCTCGGCACGTGGCACAGGCGATCCCGCGCGCTCGCAGGAGGGGCCGAGCAGCAGGGCCCGCGCACCTGTCACCTGTCACCTGTCACCTGTCTCCCGAGACGCGCTGAAGGGAGAGGATCGTCTGCGGAGAGAGGAAAACGTACGTGCCCCCTAAAGGGGAACAAAAAAGAAGTTTCAAGGATCCCAAAGCACCCAAGAGGCCGCTTTCAGCCTTTTTCTTACTCTGTCCCGAGGATCGCCCCAGAAATCCAAGGAGACCCCGCGGCCTGGCCTCGAGGGGTGCAAGGAAGCCGGAGACCCTGCGCTGGGCTCTGCTGCGGGGACACCTGAGCGGCGGGGGCAGGGGAAGGAGGTCGCTGCACCTGCGGCTGGAGAAAGCCTGAGGTGGCCTCGGGGAGGATCGTCAGGACTGAGAACAGCAAGAGAGCCAGGGCCAGGGAGAGACCAGGAGGAAGATGGAGTGAAGACAAGGATGAGGAATGTGCTGGCTTTTCCTTATCGATAAAGCATTTAACTCCCCTGTGCACGGCTCACGCCTTTTAAGGAAAAAAAAAAATGTAAGGAATGGGGGGGGTTGCAATTGTATGGGGACTATAAAAATAAAATTTATTATTTAAAAAAAAAGCACTGAAGATACAGAATCTTGTCCATAGACTCTATAGCTAAGAGTGAATAAATGTTAAATTTCAAGTAAAAAAAAAAGAATAATTATAATGAACAATAAAAAAAAAATGTAAGGCAGTGAGGGTTTGTCAACTGCAGTCTTTTCTCTTCTTTTCTTCTCTTTTCTTTTCGTAGAGTTTACACTCTCTGAAGGTGTCTTTAGACAGCCCTGTTCTGGGAGTACTTTCAGTGCCCGAGACTTGCCTAGTGCAGTAGGGGGTTGTAACTCGGCGTGGAAATTTATTTTTTTTTATTTTTAAATAAATTTTATTTTTATATTCCCCATACAATTGCAACCCCCTTATTTTGACCCCAATCCCTCCCCTCCCCGCCCCCCACCCCCCATAGAGTGTCTCTGGTTCATAGTTTTTTGTTGATTTTGATTATCACTTTCTTATAGTTATTCATTTTCCTGGTCCCTTATTTAAGTTTTCTAGATTCCTGCTATGAGTGAGACCATCCGGTATTTTTCTTTTTCTTTCTGGCTTATTTCGCTGAGCATGATCCCTTCCAGCGCCATCCATGTTGCTGCAAATTGCATGTGTTTATCTTTTTTGAATGCTGAGTAATATTCCATGGTGTATATGGACCACATCTTCTGGATCCAGTCATCTATTTTTGGGCATTTGGGCTGTTTCCAAAGCTTAGCTATTGTAAACAGTGCTGCTATAAACATAGGGGTGCAGGTGCTCTTTGGAATTGATGTTTCTGTGTCCTTTGGGTAAATACCTAGGAGTGGAATTGCTGGATCCTATGGAAGCTCCATTTTTAGCAGGCTGAGGAATCTCCACACAGCTCTCCATAGTGGTTGGACCAGTTTGCACTCCCACCAGCAGTGCAGGAGAGTTCCTTTTTCTCCACAACCTCGCCAACATTTGTTGTTGCTAGTTTTTTTAATATGTGCCATTCTCACTGGTGTAAGATGGTATCTCATGGTAGTTTTGATTTGCATTTCCCTGATTACAAGTGATGTTGAACATTTTTTCATATGCCTGTTGGCCATTTGCATTTCCTTCTCAGAGAAGTTTCTTTTTAGCTCTTCTGCCCATTTTTTGACTGTATTATTTTCTTTGTTGTTGTTGAGTCTCATCAGCTCTTTGCAGATTTTTGTGATCAGTCCTTTATCATTAGTGTTGTGTGCAAAAATGTTCTCCCATTGACATGGAAATTTAAAGCAGGTTCTTATCGGTGCACATTGCAAATGAGTTACATGTGGGGATGGTAGTTTTTCATCCTCACTTGTCTCTGATGCAGCCTACATAAAGTAATTGTTGTTCTGTTAACTGAGTATCATTCTGTAATTGCAAAAAAAAGTTGCAGCTGTTTTGATGACATTCTGAATGCTTCTAAGTAAATACAATTTTTATTACAAAAGTAGTTTTCAACGTTTTATATAGAAGTAGTTCTATGATATTCTATAATGATATGATAACAATATAATGATATTTTAGGAGAAAATCAGCTTTACCACTGCTCTAGCACCAAGTGGTCAAGGCTTTTTCCTGAACATTTTCCATCTTGCCCATTGCATTGCCTTTTACAGAAAAACTGTGAAATAAAAAAGGAAGAAAGGAAACACTGGCATGGACCATGCTACTCATGCCGCCTGACAAAGGTCCAGGCATGGGGAAGATTTCTGAAAAGTCAGAAAACTCGATAGCTGGCTCCTGCTGCTTCCTTTCATTTGTTTGTGGCAGTTTTTGAAACCATGGAGATTTTCTATAAGTTTCAAAATAACACAATGAATGTTGGCATTAGTGCCTGTAATGCACACTTCAGTAGTTTGAGAAAAGCACTTTCTAACATGAAATCGCTCCCGACAACTCTCCACGCCCTTCAATTTATAATTCCGTTACTATGAGTAACACTGAGTTCTCTAGCAAGCCACGCTTGGTAGAGCTCTTGGAATCGAGGCCGGCAAAAGTCCCCCCACAAGAGAAAGCCCCTGAGATGCCCCAGGAGGCAGAGGGGTCCGAGAAGAACACACCACATGCTGTTCCCATGACACAGGGACCCCCTGGTTCTATATAGGAAATAGAAGGCCGCCCTCAATTTTACAATGCCCACTTAGCCTTGTTTTAATTACCTACTTGACTGTTTGAATCACATTATGTGTAGCACCTGTTTCTATTTTCTGAAAAACATACATCACCAAGGAAAATATGTTGCCATGTTAATGTAACCAAGCAACCAAGTTAATCATATACTGGGAAAATTAGAAAAAGGACTGTGCACTGTTAATGATCATTAATAATTTCTGAAACAATGTAAAAGTGAAATCACATGATTGCATGATGTAATGATGACATAAAAAATTTCTGATGTATAAATAAAGGCCCACTGAGACCCTCAGCAGAAGATACTTGCACCAATATAAGAGTGTCTGTGTCTGCCTCACCCCACTTTCCCTCAGCCCCCCGAAGTTTTCGCACACCGTCCTCTCCTTTCAGGGACTCCTGACACGACATTCTGCTAGAGCGGGACTCCAGCAAAACACAAAGTTTTTGTGCTTAAATTTTTATCAGATCCATAAATTGATAAGGGACTGACCACAAAGGTCTACAAAGAACTCACACAACTCAACATAAACAAAGTAAACGATCCAGTCAAAAAATAGGCTGAAGAGCTAAAAAGACACTTCTCCAAAGAGGAAATGTGAACGGCCCATGGTATATGAAAAAATGTTCAACATCACTTGTCATCAGGGAAATGCAAATCAAAACCACAATGAGATACCACCTTACACTAGTGAGAATGGCACATATTAAAAAAATTAGCAACAACAAATGTTGGCGAGGGTGTGGAGAAAAAGAAACTCTCCTGCACTGCGGGCGGGAGTGCACACTGGTCCAACTGCTATGGAGAGCTGTATTGAGGATCCTCAAACTGCTAAAAATGAAGCTTCCACATGACCCAGCAATTCTACTCCTAGGTATCTACCCAAAGGATACAAAAACATTAATTCAAAAGGATACCTGCACCCCTATGTTTATCGCAGCATTATTTACATTAGGTAAGATATAGAAACAACCCAAATGCCCAAAAATAAATGACTGGATCAAGAAGATGTGGTACAGGGCCTCCCCTGGTGGTGCAGTGGTTGAGCACTGGGCTGCGAAGCTGCCCGCAGCCTCTGCAGTGCCAGTTTGATCCCCAGCCGCCGGCGAGGGTCCCACATGGCGCACAGACATCTCCTGCCATGCCCACTGCTCCCCTCAGCAGTGCATTTCATCCGTCTGCCTGTCCTGATCCCCGCTCCGGCTCTGGTGAATTCTCTTACCCTCCTGTGCTTCTGATTATACCCAGTGCTTGTACAAATAAATAAATAAATCTTTTTTAAAAATAGTTAAAAAGAAAAGAAGATGTGGTACATATACACCATGGAATATTACTCAGCAATCAAAAAAGATAAACTCATGCCATTTGCAGCAACATGGATGGAGCTGGAAGGGATTATGCCTAGTGAAATAAGCCAGAAGGAAAAAAGAAAAATATCGGGTGGTTTCTCTTATAAGAGGAATATAGGGGAACCCAATAAGGGATCAGGAGAAAAACAATAATAATAATAAATAATAAACCAAAAACAGGCAACTATAAATCAGAGACATCCTGCAGGGAAGAGGGAGGGAGAGGGATCAAAACAGGAGGGACGAGCACAAGGGACTCTGGTGATGATGCACAGGTGAACTAGTGGTGGGAATTTTATGGGAACTACACCTGTGAGGAGAAAGCATACATTGTGCAAAAATGAACAGTGATGGAAAATATAAATAAATAAGTAAAAAAATAATTTTTTATCAGAGCCAGAAAAGGGGCAGTGTAAGTAAAATATTTTATAAAGCCTTGTTTACTACTGTCACAACTCCTTACTGCATGTTAAATAGTTACAAGTAAATTTTCTTGTTAATATAAAAGCAACCCTGGTACAGGGCCAGTGGTGCTAACTGATGAAACTATACCTAGAGATCTACTGGTCTAGGGGGTGGGTTATGTTGCTAAAATTTTAAAGGGAAGAAGAGGGAGCAAATTACAGGTAATTGTGAAGAAAATCAATCCTTGGTTAATCTAGTAAATCTAGTATCAGGTTTCTAAGCACCAGTACCTCAGAAGGTTAATCCAGCCTTTCTTTTAAGTGAAACTGCAAACAAATCTTCCCTTGCTCCACAAGAAAATA